TCTTTTCAATCAAAGAAATTGATACATTAACAGGATGGGTGGTGGTGGAGGCAGCAGCAGGGAAAGTAATTAAAAAGTCTAATTTTTCTTTCTGAAAGCACCAGCCCCTAAATTGGATAGGTCCCCGTGGACTGTAAAACAGACAAAGTTTGAATAGAACTTTTATTCAAAGTCCAACAGTGGTGTGGTTGTGTTGGATGTCAGGATGTTGGCAGAACATTTTCTTTTCCAGAAGTCTGTGTTCTGGATGCTGGGGGTGCTGGAAGGCTGAGAGTTTATACTAGTTTCTGAGGGTGGTCATAACAAAGTACCACAAACTAGGCAGCTTAAAATAAGAGAAATTTATTCTCTCACAGTTCTAGAGGCTGGAAGTTCAGAATCAAGGTGTTGGCAGGGCTGTGCTGCCTCTGAAGCTCTAGGGGAGAATCTGTTCCCTCTGCTCTCTTAGCTTCCAGCATTGTCAGCAGCGATCCCTGCCTTGTAGACGCATCGCTGTATCTCTCACACCATTGTCATATGGTGTTCACCCTCTTTGTGTCTGTTTCTCTGTTTTCTTATAAGGACAACAGTCATATTGGATTACAGCCCATTCTATCCAGTGCTGCCTCATTTTTATTTGATTATATCTACAAAGACCCTACTTCCAAAGAAGGTCATATTCATAGGTACTGAGGAGTTAGGACTTTAACATACCTTTTTAGGAGACACAATTCAATCCACAAACAGGGACCATAGTCTGGGGCGTGGAGAAGAGAGGGAGAGAGGAAGAGGCCACCTACAGGGCCAAGGGGCCTGTGCCCGTGTTTAGGAGGAGTTGAACTATCTGGCCTGCCTGGGATAGTCTCACCTGGGCCATATCAAGTCTTGGTCCCCTAGATGCCCAAGGTCTTAAGTATCAGATGGATCATTCAGCTCAAACAGCAGGGTGTCTAGGAAGTGAGAGCACCCTCCAGGGAGAGGGAGCTCATCTTTGAAATAACTTTGTGATGTGATAGAAAGAACCCTCAGCTTGGAGTCAGGAAGTCTGGGGTCACCCTTTTCTAATTGCTCACCTGCTCCATAAACTAAAAGCACATAAGTAAATTCTTTTGACCTTCAACTTACATTTCTGTAAAAATGAAATATAAAGTAATTTCCATCTCTTGTAATTCTATAACAGTGTAAATGAGAAAAATGGGTGTGAAAGAGTTTTTTCAAGTATCACGTTGTTATTGTTGTTTTAAATAAATGAAAATTTCCTTTCTCCTGCTCATATGGGACAGAATCTTTGGTCATCTATTTGAAATGCTGATCGGATTCTTCCCACACCCAGAGTGGGCAAACATGAATAAAGTTGGGAGGAGACCATCTGTCTCTGTGGCTCTAGAACTCAAGGTGATCAAAATTCCCTTTCAAAACCCCTAATGGCCTCAATCTCTCAGCATCTGGTGCTAGCTGATGGGAAAGATTTTCATCTGGGTAGGTAGTTAAAGCCTAATCCTTTAGCCAAGCCAATAAATAAGTCTAAAGGCACTAGAGACGATGATAAAAGGGGAAAAAAAAAGTCTTTCTTTAGATGTCCTCCCTCATTCCAAGCCTTGGGGGAGGAACTCACAGCTCTCTGCTCCCTGAGATGAAATTAGTGGGCTCTTGTCATTCAAGACAGAGGCGAGAAAGAACTGGAATCTGATACCAGATGCCACTGAAGAGAATATATTTTACACAACATAAAAGGCCGCAACGCAAATTAGAAGAAATATGGGGAGCCTTCAAAAAGGTAGGTCAAACTTTTTCCTCAAGCAGATAATTACAGGCTAGGGGTGAGTAAATCTTATTAGCCTCTCTCCACTCCGTCTCTACTCGTAAAACACTAGTCGGAAGAAAGCCACCCTCAATTCAGGACTGGACAGCTTGCCTGAGAGAGGACCAGCCATCCGCCATCCATCACGACACCTGTGGTCAGGCTGTTGATGTCCACTCTCGTTTCCCCCCCCCCGCCCCCCACCAGGACATAGGAGAAGACAGCCAGCCAAGCATGAAGTTCCGATATGGACTTGCTGAGACTTGGTGACATCTCACTGTCTGCGCGTTCGGGTGGGGGGGCGGGGCGTGCGCGCGCGCCCGCGAACTCGCGTGGCCGGCTCGGCCGCCGACTGCCCAGCCCCCGCCCCCCACCAGGACCCGAGTCCTCCTTCCTGGTCACTGGGGCGCCTTAGACTTTGATCACCCGGCAAATTTAAAAGAAAATGTGGAATTCCCCCTTACTTATTGGATCTAGACGGTGCGCATACAGGGGCACGTCAGTCTCTCA